TATGTTAGAGTCCAAAGAACGGAGACAACCCACACCACCAAACAATAAACCCAAACCCGGCAAAGCTGCTGGCCTCCTCATTCCGAACGCCCCACGACCTGGCACGAGCAAAAATCTCAATCTCGGCCAAGTGTAACAAGAGTGGCAAAGCAAAGGGCAATGCACATGAGACCCCTTTTTTCATCTTCCCCTCAGAGTGAAGCTACAGGTGTGCCGTGGCACACAAAACGGCTTCGAGGACCAGTTTCACGGCCGATGCGAGTGGCCGTGTCCTGGCTCCTCCCAAAATCAAAAGCGGCCGTCCTTAGGCTTTGCAGTGTCAGTCCTCGACACACAAACAACGGTTTCGAAGGACGCTTTAAAGAGCCAAGGCACCACGAACGACCTAGTAGTAATCGTACCGGCGACGGCGACGGTCCTGAGCATTGACTCACCCAGATTGAAATACACGCAGCCAATCGCAATAGCTTCTGCAGCCAAGGCACCTCGGCATCGGACATCCAACGAGGAGCCGGCCGACCTGGATGCCCTGGATCCGAAAGGCGATCACGATCGTCGAAGCGGCCGCGATCACGATCGTCAGGGCCACGATAGTCGCTCCAGGGTCCACGGCGATCGTCCGGACTGGGACCGCGACGATCGTCACGGCGAAAGTCACGGCGATCCCGGAAGTCCCGATCGTCCTCACGCCGATCCCGGTAGTCCCGGTCCCGGTCGTAGTAGTCACGGCGGCCGCCGCCATCCCGATCGCGATCGTCATAGCCGCCGCGAAAGTCCGGCTGCTCCCCGCCTCAGTCACTGTACTCGATCGCGAAACGCAGACAACAGCAATGCCTATGTCATGTGACTGTTTAACTTCAAGGGAGTGACGGCGAACGTCGAAATCGTCGTAATGCTGCCGGCCTTTTCCTTTTCCCTGCTGTCTGCTGCTGCCTCAGCTATCAGGTAAATGCAAGGTGCATTGCAAAGCAGCACGAACGACACAAGTCAAGTTAAAAGTAGAAACTCAAAGCCGAAGCGACCCGGAAGACCAGGGATCTCGGGGCGAAGGCGGTCGAGCTCCTTTCGAACGGCCGAGGTTATGGCCGCCGATGGATTGGCATAGGTCCGAAGGTCCGCCTGGTTCTCGCCTCAGTTATTTCAGAAACTTTTCATCTGAATGGTTCGAATCCAACCCATTATTAGCCAACCAAGTCACGCTGGAGGATTTGGAAAATCTCCCGGACGAACTTCGCACCGTCCTCCCCATGGCCGGCGATGTTCCCGACCGCCTTGGATATTGTGAATTGATTGTGCTCGGACAATGAACGACACAGCCCATGCGAATTATTAAAAAGCCGAGCGACACGAACGGCCTTCTCATCAGATGTCGTACCGAACCTAAGTGAGAACAGGATGCACGAACGGACCGAACGCTTAATTAATTATTATTGAGCCAAGGCACGGCATCCAAAATCTCGTTGCCCGTGGCGGGCATGGCAATCTGTGCCTCGGCCGCCCCGAACGTCCCGCGATATTGCGGACGACCAGGAGCGGCCGCATTCGCGGGATCGGGCGGCCCGGCCGCCCCCGGCGGCGGTCCAGGCGGTGTCTGAGGAGCGGCCACACGATCGCTCGCATAGATACGGAGCTGAGTGACGACCGTCTCCGGCAGACTCCCGATGGCCCACCACTCGTTCGACACGTCGCCGAACGACGGCAGCCAAAGGGGGACGCCATAGAGGGCCGAGAGGCCCACCACGAGACTGGCCGACCGGACCCGTCCATGCGAACCTCGGATACAAGCAATCACCCGAAGATCACACCACAAACTTGGCTGCAGAACCTTATTACTAAGTGCATCCAGCAACAGCAAACGGCCAAAACCGAACGTCCTTCGATCTCCTTCATGGCCTGAAGCATCTTCGCGAGAACCCGGAAGCAAGGTGCGAACTCCGTCTGGTTGTACGGCCCCTCGAACACCGCGAACGTCGTCAACGGGTTGCCTCGCAGGATAAGAAACCCCGAAAAAAACTGTTAACTACAATAGTTTGCGACAGTCACTCACGACTACTACTACGACCCGTCCTTCGACACCCTCCGCCCGTGCTTGGGTATCGCTGGGCCACATCCCACGAATGTCGATGGACACCTGTGTTCCGTTGACCTCATACCACCGCCTTTTCAACCAGGCCGGCATACACGAGTGGCCCTTCTGACCTGAGTGTGCTTGGCACTGCAAACAAACATGTGAAGACTCCTGCAAATGCGAAGCATTTTATTAATGAGCCTAAACACGAACGGCATTGTTCCGGCCGGTCGTGTTGTACATCTCTTCGATCCCATAGGCCACCAGAAGAGGACCGTCCCAGAACGTCCCCTCGTCGATGTTCCCCTCGAGAGTCTGGTAGTTGAGATCGTCCGTCGCAGATGTCGAGCTGCGAGGTCCACGACGCCCGGCCATTGTGCCGCAAGGAACGGTCTCGAAAGACCAAGGGAAAATCCAGCAACCCCGAACGGCGAAGACCCCGAACGGATGACGACCCGAACGGCGAATACCCCGAACGGCTAATGACCCGAACGGCGAATGATGAACGCCGAATGACGAACCCTGAAACCTAAAATCAGAAGCTGCGAAATCTGCGAAATCTGTGAAATCTGCGAAATCTGTGAAATGTGAACTGTGAAAATCCTCAGAACTTCAGCCCGGGATGCTGCTGTAAGAATCGCTCATGATGTCATGTGCTGTGCATGTCCAACTCAGACTGCAAATGCCCTCCTGTGTGCAAGCAGAATGCAGCCTAAAAACCCAAACTCGCCAGGGCCACCTGTGAAGGCCAGGATGGCGGTGATGTCGCCGAACGGCCCCGAGGAAGCCAACGACGAACGGCCACGAACGCCCTTGTATTTCTAGCTTTTCATACAAAAACCTACAGACTACCCCAAACCGGCAATCGTCCGAACGGCCTCAATCCAACAGTTTAAATGATACTTTCACGCCTGCCATAAAACACTACGCAAATCCAAGCCATAGAAACGCTAATATCTCCTGATAAGTTTACCAAAACCCTCAAATACTTAGAGTTTCATCCTTAAAAACCTTACTCCTTTAGTAGCTTGGACCCACCCGGCCCCAGACCCCGCCAAAACCTGCACCTATCCGAGCCTGTTGGTTATCCGTCCTAATTAGGCTGCCTGAACAACTGCCGTGTTGCAGAAATCTTTGATTAGTTTGAGACCTTCAAACCGACCTTGATTGAAATTTCTAGCATTTTACCGTGATCATCCAGGCCAAACCCTGAACCATAGAATCCCTATCACCCTACAACCATTAAACCCGCCCGGAACCCTCTAAACCTCGAACTATACCCTTATGGTTCCTTAAGTATCAAAGTATGGTACCTAGCCAAAATCATGCTCGTATGAAGGGTTTGGGCGCTATACCCTTAACCCTAAGCATCTGCAACGCTAAGCCCCCAAACTTAGAGCGTTGAGTTTCAAGCTCTACATCTCCCCCGAAAGGCCCCTGGCACAAGGGCGTTTCGTAAGCCCTACTAGAGATCTCTACTTAAAAGGTTCCCTTAAAGGTTGCAGTAAGGGTTCCTTCAGGGGGCTGCTATAAGGGGTCTATGCGGGATTAGCGTGTACCTACAGATAATTAACCATTGTATGTTCAAAAAGGGATATGAGCCTAAAAGTTGGTACATGTACCCTGTTGAAAAACGTACCCTCTTACAGGGTTCCTGTGAGGGCTCTGCACAGGTGGGTATTGCAGATGGTGGGCTAGTTTAGCGGCCTGACTGCCTAGAACCGGGTTCAGGGGTATATCATAGCATAACTACTTTAAAGACAGACGTCAGAAGGATTGCAGCCCCGTATTCATAACATAATTACCCAAAGGCCCCAAAGTAGTTCCTTTTTGAGGTTCAGATTTAGAATTCTATGAGGTACTCCCAAAAGGGAACTACTAGGGGGCCTATGGGTACCTTAAAGGAATGTCCCAAAAAGGCGACATCTTGGCAACCAGTGATGCCCCCTGTGTTCGTACCCTGGGAGCTGCCATGGAGAATTCCTCTATAATACAAAAATACTATAAGACACTGACACTCATCCCCAAACACAAGCCCTTCCATGCCTCAACTTTTGTAATTTTAAATCATTGGCGTGCAGCGGTCTTCCCCTCGACTGATCCGCATGACGTCGTAACTAATATCGGAGCCTGATGGGTGAACACTTTTGGGCCCAACACGGGGCTGCCCAAAGGCCCCAAAGTAGTTCCTTTTTTGGGGTTCGTATATAGAATCCTATAGGGTAATCTCCAAAAAGGAACAACTTTGGGGCCTCTGGGTGGAGATGGATTATTCTCCCTGAGGGTCCATGTACTTATATAGTATATACCTTGGCCCTAATGTAGTCCCTATGTTATTATACTTTGGGGCCCATGTACAGTAGAAGCCAGAAAGTTGGAACATCATTACCCTCATGCGCTTAAGGTAAAGTATAAGGGATCCTAGCACTAATCCTCCTAAAGTCATGTTCCAACTTTCTGGCTTCTACTCTATCTCTATATGGGTACATGGACCCTTAGGGTCTGCGCGGCTTCGGGATCAAGGCCTCTTTGGGTTGAAGGCTGCCGGTTGCGAGTTTGGCTTACCTTTGGTTAGTAGGGAATGGAGGAATGGAGTACAATTATAACTACTACGGTTGATGATATAAATCCTGCATGACCCATAATAAGGAATATACCATAATTCCCATAGTTTGGGGGCCTTAAGGTCATGCAGGATTTATATCATCAACCGTATTACTACCATTCTTCCATTCCCTACTAACCATTCCTGCGGCACTGAGCCAGATATCCTAAACACGAAAAAAAGAATATAGTAAACCCCATAAAGTTGGAAACCGCATTAAGGCCAAATCGTCCTGGGATTCCCTATAAATTACTCTTAAGGGTTGAGGCTATTGGGTTGCCAACTGTGTGGCTTCTACTGTATTCCACACCTTGAATGCGGCCGCGCCTGGGGCATCTGGGCTCACTCCAGACTGCAGCAGTTGCTGCACAACCTGCAGACACTGACTTTTGCTCTCTACCAGCTCTTCCTTATGATTCTCCAATGTTGAAGCTGTCGATCTCGCTCATGTCACAATTGCGCAAGTCTCGCATATACTAACTGAACTAACGGTGCAAACGGTTCGCAATGGGTAGCTTCATTGGTTGACGTGATGGCAGGTAGGTACTGATTCCATCGAATGTCACGGCTCGTATTAAATATTGCCACAAATCCGATACTATATTGTCACTGTTGTGTCCCATGTTCTTGCACTGGTTCATACTATCACCACCTCGGATCTCTGAATACCGTTGATGAACTTCATGGGCACATCTCCAACAACCAGGTACAGGGCAAACACACACACACACACAGACACACAGACACACAGACACACACACACACACACACGGACGCTGATGACGAGCCAGTCAGCGTTAGAAACAGGGCTGGTGGCCCAGATTCGACGAACATTGTAACAGAAGAAGGGTCTGCAGCCGGTGGGAGTAATATTTCTTTCGCATTTATTTGCAAAAAAAGCTTTCCTTCGAAGGCTAGAGGACCGACCGTTTCTCGGTCGGTGTCTCGCAGGCAGCAAGCAAAGGAAAGCCAAGTGAAACAGGAGAGGCATAGCAGGGAAGGAGAAGGAAACGCTTAAGAAGCGAATCTTATACCAAACGGCCACGGAATCTGAGCATCTTCAAGTGGATCGACAATCGAAGATCGAGGATCGATCCGTGTGAGCATGAACGCAATTAAGAAGTTGTCACTTCGCACACCGGTGTGCTGCACGACAAGGACTGCTTGGATTCTGGGTCATTGGGGTGAGAAGTTCTAGCCAATGACTCGACGCCGCTGGTCGGTTACCTGAAATCCTCGCCATAAGCCCAAGACTAGGCCCAAAGCCGCAGACCCTGGAGTAGTATCTTAGGGCTTGTATAGGGTTTAGGGTTTAGGGTGGAGCCCTACGGTTTCGGGCTTCGGGGTTAGGGTTTAGGGGCTTAGGGATAGTATTCCTAAGAGCTCATACCACACAAGCCCTACAAACCCTACCTTAACCCTGAATATCCGACCTTTTTAGGGCTCGTTATTATGATTTCATGATATAAATCCTTAAAACGGGTAGGATATTCAGGGTTAAGGTATACCTGTAGTCTCGATTGTAGTGCCTTGTTGTTAACCAGCTCTTGGTTAGGATCAACGGATTTGGTTAACAAGCACAGGAACTACAATGGAGACTACAGTCCAAGGGCAAAAGGAGGGACCCTTAATGGGGACCCCTACCCTAAAATGGACCATATAATAGCTATATTAAGGTTCTATAACTAGGGGTCCTCATTAAGGGTTCCTCCTTTTACACTTTGATACAGGTAAGCCCCTGAACCCTAACCCGTAAACTCCCAAACCCAAAACCCTAAACCCCTAAACCCTAAAGCCTGGCAGGCGGAAAGGCCTCAAAATGGCCGAAGCGTGCAGCCGTCGTCAAGGACGAACTGTCCGGCTGTGCCTCCAGGGTTTAGGGTTTAGGGAAGGCTAATTGCCCGCGTCTCTAGGGTTTAGGAGTTAGGTGTTCAGGGTTCTAACCTCCTGATTAACCCCAGTTTTGTTCACAAATCCTCAGCTCACAGAACCTAGAACCGCTCCTTAACTTCACCTATTCCTAATAGCATAAATGTGTGGATCCCGAAACCCTAAACCCCTGAAGCCCTAGTCGTTAAGCCCGAGACAATAAAATCCGCAACCCCTGAACCATCAATCCACACCATACTAACACATGGGCTTGGGGGTATATTGCACTATATTGTTCGAAGTAAGGAACACACAAATAGTTTGGACATCCATTTGGGTTGTCTGTCTAAACTAGGGTCCCTTTCTGGGCCCCCAAAGCAAGTATACGACACCCTGCTTCAAAGGACCCGAAAAGGGACCCTTACCTTAGAGAACTTCCAATCTAGAAGTACATGGAACCCTAATCACTAAACCCCTAAACCCCTAGAATAGGGTTCCTGTAAAAGGGCCTTCAAGGATTACTATAATGGGATCTATAAGGGAACCCCTGAACCTCCACACCCAAAGTCCCGGAACCCCTAAGCCCCTACCAAGTACTACTTGCCATGCACTGCCATGCACCCGTCCTTTGAAGCCAGGAGCAGGGAAACGACTTCCTTTTGCCCATGCCTGGTCCCATTCTTGGCTGGGCTCTTGGGCCCCAAATAACCGTAGGTTCTCTAGGGTCCAGGTAGGGGGTAGGACTTCTGTTTTCGGGTTTACGGGCTTCAGATGGTTGGCTTTTGTGTTACGCGATTAGGGCTTTCGGTGTCGGGCTTAAGGGTTCTGTCGGCTTTGGGGTTTCCTAGACCCCCAAAAGTAGGTAAAAAAAATGCCCAAAGCCTATAAAAGGCCATTATTCTACATACTTTTGGGGTCCAGGTTAGGGGCTTTAGATGGCATCGTTGGCTTTTGGACTTAGGGACGCGGTTGGGGTTTGAGGCTTCTGTGAAAGGTGCCGAGCCGTTTTGTTGGCGGCTGATACATTTACAAGCCTCCCAACTTGGAGGTTCATGTGACTTAGTAAGTACAGTTATAAGTACCTTAGCTGAGGATATAACCAATTATAAGTATAGGTACCTTAATTATAACCCTAGTTACTAAGTCCCATGACCCTTGGCCACCTGTAGGCGCGAAAGATTTTGGGTTTCGGGCTCACGGGAGCTTCTCGTGGCTTGAGAGCTTGGGTCCAAAGCGCTCATACACAAAGCTCAAAGGCACCCAAGTATTTTGGGAAAGATCTTAAGCACACAGACATTAGTGTTCGGAAGGACGTACTTCGGAAGCAGCTATACGTCTGCTTTTCAGCCGCGGGAGCTTCGTAAAACATGGAAAATAAGTTGTACGGACGTTCCCCCTCGCTAGGGATGTTCCAGATGTGAAGTCTGACCTACATACCAACTTCCCTTCAAACCCAGGTTTCAGAAACCATAACCTACCTTTTTAGGATTCCTGATTATGAGTTCCTTATATAAGTCCTTAAAAAGGTAGGTTATTCCGGGTTAAAGTAAAACCTGGACTCAAAACCCTAATGGAGTTCTGGGTGCGGTCCCCCTGTCTAGGCTTAGGGATGAAAATAGCCCAAAAGCCTTGTCTAGTATGGTCTTTGGGCCCAAAAGCAATATGTGAGTCCTTAGATCCCTAGGGTAGGTTTGCAGTTGAGGGAGTATAGGGTTGCGGGTCTAGGGTTTATGAGGCTTACAGGGTTTAGGGCTCAGAGGGAATATCGGGCTTATAGAGTTTATAGGGTTTTGGCATTCGCGTTGCTTGTCGCTGCGGGCATTCTCCAACTTGCGGAGGACTTGTTTTACTCACAACCCAGACCTCATACTTAAAGGCTCATGGGACTTAGTAAGTAAGGTTATAAGTAGGTTATAATTAGGATAACCCCACTTAGGGGACTTATAACCCCAATTATAACCTACTTACTAAGTCCCATGATCCTTCAAGTACCCATCAACCCACACACTGCCGACGGGCGGCTGTACAGCACTGCGGAGTGCATCATAGCCTGCAAAAGCAAAGTTCCCTTGGGCTACTGAACGGGCTGGAGCGGAAGCGGGGCTGAGGGCGGGGTTCAGCGATTCAAGCATGTGAGGTTCATGGCTTCAAATTTGCAGGAATCAGAGTTCAGGGGTGTTCAGAGTAAGTTGACAGATCAGAAATGGAGATGCAAAAAATTAGGCTTCGGTTCTTGACTAGGCTCTGTGTTTTCGAAGTCAAGTACAAAACGAACCATTGGGGCCCGCTTACCCTCGACCCCACCCTGACACCCTTAGTAAAGCCTCATCTTCTGATCCAAAACAATGCCTTTCTCTGCACCCTGACAACATGCTATCACCTAGACCCCCAAAAGTATGTAAAAAATGGACCAAACCCTATGAAAGGTTATTCTACATACTTTTGGGGTCCAGGCAGGTACATCTCAGATAGCTTAAGTTCAGAACACGTTGTACAAGTAAAACAAGGAGTCTCTCATGACGAAGGAATACGTGTGTGTGTGTATCTGCGTATACATACAAGCAGAATATGCATATAGATGTATGTTTAATTGGATATACATGCATATGAATACGTATGCACTTACAAGTAGAAACTTACATACATACGCACATACATACATACATACGTACATACATACATACATACTTGCGCAGAGGGAGAGGGAGAGGAAAGCAAACGGCAGTGTAATTGCATTCATATCAGTCACTAAGCCCCTAAACAGTAAACTCTCTCATCGCAAGTCATCTTGTTGGCTTCGCGTAGCGATTTTTATTTTTCTCTCTCTCTCTCTCTCTCTCTGTCCCTCTCCCTGTCACCTGCTTACACGCTTAGCCAAACCACCCTTATTTCCCAAGCCCTAACTAAACCCTACCTACAGCCTCGAAAACTCCCACCGATGTTCAATCGAGCATGTGGCGAGCCTGTGGAAGGGGACTGGCCAGCACGCATGAAAGCCTGAACATCAGGGTTTAGGGCTTCGAGGATCAGGGTTCAGAACTACCCAAAGGCCGCAAAGCAGTTCCTTTTGGGGGTTCGTTTACAGAATCCTATAAGGTAATCCCCAAAAGGAACTACTATGGGGCCTATGGGTAGAACTTAGTACCGTGAGGATTGGGCTTCAGCGTATATAGGGTTTAGGTACCGAAGATTACTGTGAGGATCCAAGTCACCCAATTCGAATGTGGTGTAGCCTCGAAGGTGCCCAAAGAGAAATCCTTGTCCAAGGTAGCTACTGCTAGAGTTATTACTACCCCTGACCTTAAGACTCAACATAGGACGCAAGCCTGACACCGCAGAACTAGGCTCCCGCGCTGGGGGAGGAGGGCTTAAACACAAGGGGAACATACAACTGCACGACAGAATGTATAATGTGGAACTGTGTCATAGCTTGTAAGTTCCGTGAGCTATGAACTTAGAAAAATATATCAGTACACAAGGGCACCAATGAACCTCCTCCTTCTGCTGGTAACCGCCGGCAACAGCTGCACGGAACACGACGGGGGGCGGACCGTCCTTTCAAGCATATCGTTGTTGCATACGACTGGTGTGGACATGGCGCGGGTGGAACAAAATCAATCCGACATCACGGACCCACCTAGAGACTATCCTACTTGTCCAGCAGCCTACGGGAACAAAAAAGGTTAACTTTTCGGAATATAAGGAGGCTACTGTACCCCAAAAAAGATAAAGGTTACCTACTCTAATTACTACCAATACAAGCTATACCCTAAACCCTAAACCCTAAACCTATACGGCTTCATTAGGTCAAGGCTTGAGATTCGGGATTCGAGACTGAGTCTGACAGAACAGGTGAAATTTAGGCTCTTGGTTCTTGGTTTATTGTTTTGGGATTGTGCGTAAAGTTTGCTGTAAGGACCCTAAACCCTAAACCCCTAAACCTTAAACCCTAAAGTTTGCTGTAAGGATGGAGGCGGTCACATCTTTCAAGGACAGGTGGTCTGTGCCACACAGCACCAACCCAAAGGTATGTACCCAAAGGCCCCAAAGTAGTTCCTTTCGGGGGTTGGTATATAGAATCCTCTAAGGTAATCCCAAAAGGGAACTACTGTGGGGCCTCTGGGTAAGCCTGAACCCGCGCGAAGGATGACTGGGGTCGCGTCGTCTAGGGTTACGGTTTTTGGGGGTTTCGGCTTCGGGCTGACATTGCCAGCTGGAAGAAGGGCAAGCCTCTGCCCAAGTGCTTGTGGCTCTTTTCCTTCGAGTGGCCCATGTGGAACTGGACCAGGTCGGATGTGGTCATTCTTGCAGGCTCTTTTGAAGGCCTCTTCTAAAAGGTCCACAGACCTATACCTAGACTCTGCAGGAGCCAAGTTCCTGATTGGACATCATTTTTCTGTCGATGACCTGAGCGGAGACGGAGATGCGGTCCTACTGCCACCTGCCGCCAGGCTGCTAACAAGCTTTCATCGATCGTCCAGGTCTGGCTGCCCATCCTTCGGTTGATGATAGAAATCCTGCATTACCCAGAATAAGGAATATACCATACTTCCCATAGCTTAGGCCCCTAAGGTAATGCAGGATTCATATCATTAACCGTTCCACCTCGAGGTGACGCAGGTCGTTGCGATGTTAGGCCGAAGCAGCGGTCGAAGCTGTACTCTTCCCATGAAGAGGTCTCAGCAGGTGGAGCTTGCACCTGTGGTGTCCTGCCTTGGTAGAAGGGGAGGCTCTCTGGAGTTTCACGGCGTATGATTTGAGGATGTAATTTAGGGCTCTAGGGTCAGGGTTTAGGGCCTCATGGATTAACATGTTTCGGCTCAGGGCCTTACCCCTGAAACTCCCCTGATCTGAAACTTAGGGTTTAGGGTTTAGGGATGCAGCCTCTGCAAAACGAACCCTAAAAGGAAAGTTGCACAAACGACCCCTGAACCCGACCTAGGGCTTTTCGGGGTAACGAAATGAGTGAAAGCAGAGTGAAGAATGAACGAAAGTGCGAAGGCTTGGACTTGGGGCTTTGAGTTTAGTCCCAAACACCACACCCGAAACTCAAACCTTATGGATCCTGTAGCTTGTTACGGTTTAAGTTTAGGGTTTAGGGTTTCTCAGGAACTGTACAATGACAAAACATTGCGGTGTTGCTTCTCTATAAGCCACTCGACCTAGCTGCTATGATGGAAACAGTTGGTGGGAATCACTGATGTGGTCCACTCGCCAATACACCACGAGAGCCCTCTCTACACTCACCAAACCCGTGACACCCGACTTCAGCCAGGATGTGAGGTGTTTTAGGTCCCCTTCTGGAAACCCTCTATAGAACCCAGAGACTCCAATATCCCTTAATTAAGGAAAAAACAATATATATATATATATATATATATATATATATGTATTTCTATATACATATATATAGAGAGAGAGAGAGAGAGAGAGAGAGAGAGAGAGAGAAAACCTTACTATAATTTAAGGTATATCCCTTCATCAAGGGATATCGGATATTGGAGTCAGTGGGAACCCTGAAATAAAACCCTTGAAGGGACCCAAAGGAGCCCCATCGTAGTGCCGTTCAAAGGGGCCCTAAGGATCCCTTAAGGGTAATGTTTAGGGTTCCTGTCAGGGTGCCTTTAAGGGTTCCTTTAGGGGCGCCTTCAGGGGCTCCTTTAATTAAGGGCTTCTTTAAGGATTTCCTTTAAGGATTCCTTTGAGAGTTCATTTAAGGGTTCCTGTAGAAACCCTCAACCCTAAACCCGAAACCCAAAACACTAAGCCGTCCTGCACGTCCCGGGAGGAGGTAGAATTGGCCGGCCAACCAAGAGGAGAGCAGCCCCCTTGGACGAGAATGGGATCTTTAAGGGTACCTTTAGGGGATCTACAACCCTAAGGCTCTACACAGCCCACAAGTCTTATATAGTATGGTCTCTTGGGCCCACAAGCCTTAACATATGAGTCCTTAGAACCCTAGGGTAAGGGATCCTTTGTGAAGCTTCTACAACGGCTTAGGGTGTGAGGAGTATAGTTTTAAGCAACCATAATAGTGATCGATAACAAATAATATGGTTTCCTGATTGTGGTAACTTCCCCATGCGCCCAACTACCTACTAATCGCAGACTCTCCCCAATATGAACCTACATAGCTACTATACTGAACACAACTACCTGATTAGCGGGCCCTTTGGACCGTTAGGGCTTAAGTTAAATCCCTGAACAAGAGCCCCCTCGGAAGCGACTGCGAGGCTGGGGTCAGGGTTTAGGGGAGCTTAGGGCTTAAGGTGTAGGGGCTTAGGGTTCGGTTTAGGGTTTAAGGTGTAGGGGTCTAGGGTTTCGGGCTTTAAGGGGTTTAGGGCTTAAGGTGTGAGATTGAATTCTTCAGGAATTAGGGAGTTTAGGGTTTAAGGGGTAGAGGTTTAGGGGTTCGGGCTTTGGAGAGTTTAGGCATTAAGGTGTAGAGGTTTAGGGGTTCGGGCTTCAGGGAGTTTCGGGTTTCAAGGGTAGGGTTTGGGGTTTCGGGTGCATTTAGGGTTTGAGGTTTAAGGCTTTGGGTTAGGGTGTAGGCCATGTGCGGGGATGCTGATCAGGATTTCCAAAGTACGCAAATCAAGCCTTTCATACTCAAGCATGACAAGGCTGTGCCACTCTAGTATTGTGCTTTGCGGCGCGAGCTGCCGGGATTTGATGATTTCGGGTTGCCCTAAACCCTACCTTAAGCCCAAGTAACCTACCTTTTTAAGGACTTACACAAGGAAATCATAATACAGAACCCCAGAAAGGTAGGTTAATTACTTGGGGTTCTGGTAAACCTCAAGTACACCGTGACCAAGGTGTTTCGCTTTCAGATCGGTGACTTGTGTCATCTCGATTCCTTTGCCCTGGCTTGAAGGTTCGAGGGTCTCACAGAAAAAAAGGGGCCTAAATAATTGCACATTTTTTCTGGGGGGGTCCCTTGCTCTGATCGTGGTATAATGAGCCCCCAAAAACACTATTCCAATTATTAAGGCCTCTATACTATCGAACCCTACTATAGATCTCTTATATAGCTCTTTAAAAGAACCCTTGAAAAGGGAACCCTACTCTAATTAGTAAGGCCTCTACAGACAAGGTTTCGGATTCTACGGTGCCAGGCTTGTACGGAGGATCGCTGGTCAGGCCTTTGGGAGGCTTAGGCTTTACGGTCCAAGCTGCGAGGTTTCAGAACACCTCTATAGAATCCCTCAAGGTGGATTAAAGGCAAGGGGCACTATAAAGTGCTTACAAACCTTCATAGACCCCCGAACAGTACCTTGCACCATAACCTTCAACCCTACTATAGGGGCCTCAACAATTAACTGTACTATTTTTTGAGGGTGGATTCCGTATTATGAGTGTAGTATAAGATACCCCAGAACCCTATTCTAATTGTTGAGGCCCCTATACTCTAGAAGCCGTATAGATACCTTCTAGAAACCTTTAAGGGTCTCCTGAAAGGATCCCTACTCTAGTTGCATGGGTACCTTTTTTCCCACGCTTGTCGTAAACTTAAACCCGAACCACCCAGAGACTCCAATATCCCTTATAATTAGGGAATATACCTTATTAAAATCAAATCAGGAATCCTACGACAATTTAAGGTATATTCCTGAAGTAAGGGATATGTCACGGTGAACTCCCAATCGCTTGCTGTAAAACTTGAGCCACACGATTTGCAGAGCCTTTTTCAGATGCCGTATCTCGGATGCTTGACCTCGCAGTTCTGCGTGTCCGCTTCGCATGAACATAGTTAGCCGGTTGGGATAGCGATACCGCTGCTGGGCCGGTGTCCTCAACAAGTTACATGCCTCTTGCAGGGCAGCGCAGACTCGTTTCAAAGTGTCGTCGGGCGAACCATCCAGGACCCACGACACCAGGAGCTAATATGGACCCAAATGAGTACTGATCGCAGCCCAAATACTTGACATGCATCCAGTCCAAGCATATCGTGTGGCAGGACAGATATGATAGATTAAAAAGCGGCGAACGAGAGCGATGCCCAGGCTCTCCAAGCCGCACCTGTCCATTGTGTTGTTCGCCAGGCAGCTGTCGGTCTGAAATCTGTCCATGCATAAAAGCCGCTATCACAGGCTCGACAAATCGGACAAAGTTTGTTGCTCTGGCGTAGTGCGGTACCTCCAGAACTTGAAAGCAGTAATCCCTCATAAAAGGGACTATTCCTTACAATATACAGGCTACAATATTATGATTTAAGGCATATTCCTTACTTAAGAGCTATTGGGAACTCTGGACAAACCCTCCAAGGAACCCAAACCATATTCCTGAAGTAAGGGATATTAGAATCCCCTAAACCCTAAACCCTATAGATCCCTTAAAGGAACCCTAGGTCTTCCTGAATCTCTGGACAAACCACCAAAAAAACCTCAGACATGGCTTTGGAAGACTGGGCTCCCGGCTCTCGCCAAAGGATGCCTCGGTGGCCACGATGGAGGCCTGACTCAGCACATGGGCTTAGGGACAAGGCCCCAAAGTAGTTCCTTTTTGGGGTTCGTATATAGAATCCCATAAGGTAATCCCAAAAAGGAACAACTATGGGGCCTCTGGGTAGGGACTAGGGTTTAGGGTTTAGGGGATTAGGGGTTTAGGGGTTTCGGGTTTAGGGGTTTAGGAGCTTGGGGTTTAGGGTTGCCTAAAGGGTCCAAGTAGCTAAGAAACAAAGATGCTCCCCCAACTTTTAACCCACATAACTGCTACCCCAAACCAGTACCTGAGAGTCGGATCCTTTGGACTGTTAGGGCTTTAAGTTTCGGGCTTGAGATTTTTGGGTGCCGTATTGGTATCTGCAAAAGGGTTTCATCCAAGGATGTTCTGAATGCTGCGGGATGTGGGTGTATGGACTTCATAAGGGTAATTTGCAAGAATAGGGTTTTGGGGCCCATCATACTATAAATATAGTAAGGAACTCCAAAATAGTATAGGTAGTTAGGAAGGCCCCTGTAGTACTTGGTCTCTGTCTGTCTCTCTGCCCCTCGCTCTCTGCCCGCTCTACGCCCCCGAAAACCTGAACCCGAGTACTAACTACTATAGGGGCCTTCAGAATAGAGGAGGGTTCTGGGGCCCATTATACTATGTTTATAATGAAGAACCCCGGAAATAGTATTGGTAACAATTAGCTAGAAGCAGGGCCGGAAGGGCACAACCGGGTAGCAAGCACATAATTTAATTTAAGGGTCGGCATAATTAGCTAGCAGTCCCAAATAGACCTGTAATATAGTTCCCTTTGGGGGTTCACATTTATAATCCTATAAGGTAATCTCAAAAAAGGAACTACTACGGAGCCTATGGGTATGCTATATCCCAAGACAGTTGACCCCCGACTCACACCCGGATGATGATAGAAACCCTGCATTACCCATAATAAGGAACATACCATAATTCCCATAGTTTGGGGTCCTTAAGGTAATGCAGGATTTATATCATCAACCGTATCGAAGCACTCCGCAACCTAGACCCAACACCCCAGTGCTTCAACCGATTGGCCCTAAAGGCCGCCAAACCCCAAACTCTAAACTCTAAACCGTAAATACCTGAACCCTATACCCCAAACTATAAGCCTTTGCGACCCCGGGCATTGGCTGCTCAAGCTCAAACTTGAAACAGCCAAGCTGGAGGTCCCTCAGCCTAGAAACTCTTCCCCAAAGGGTCCAAAGTACCTTTATAGTAGAATGTCGGGTTTTTTCGATATTAGGAATTACTACTATGATTAGGGGAAGTATCCCGCACAACAGTACTTTGGACCCTTTGGGTTCACAGATTCCCAATCACGGCAGTGAATGCGTAAGAGGGCTTTGAGCTTAGGGTTTTAATTCAGAGTTTCGGCTGTACCCGCGAATGATTTAAAGACCGGCTATTCCGTGAAGTCTATTTAGTATGTTCGTGTTCGGATTCCCAAAACCCGACACATCGAACACAGAACCCAACACCTGAAACCGTAACCATATGGCCGGACGCTTGGAAGGTTCAAGGTCCAGGGTTCCTGGTGACGAAATCTGGCCCCTGACATGCTTTATGAGACTTTTGAAGATTCCGAAGACCGTTGAACCATGCAGAGAAAACTGTTGAGCTATCAGGATCCCTTCTTAAGACCTACAAAAAGCCAAAGCAACTGGATGTTCTGGATGGCTGGGCCCTTGCTACCCCACACACCCAAAGCCCTTCCGAAATCTATACCCTAAACGCCGAGATCCCTGAGACCCTAACCCTAAGACCCTTGAATCCCAAAAACTCAACCCTATGCTCATTGGCCCAAAACCCGAAGAAATACAAATTGAAACTTCCAGAATCGACTACCTTATAAGAACCCCAAAAATTGAAAAGCTGAGTTTACAGCCAATAAGTAAAAGCCCCAACCCTTATAGAGCCCTCTAGAGGAACCCTTATTGTAGCCTTACAGTATCCCTTTGAAGGAACCCTTACAGTAGCCTTATCGTAACCCTTTTAAAGGAACCCTAAGGCCGCACCCTAAGGAGCCTCCAATCCTGAACCCTAAACGACCAACCCTAAACCCTAAACCCCAAACCCTAAACCCTAAACCCCTAAACCCCTAAACCCTAAACCCTAAACCCTAAGCCCCAAACCCTAAACCCTAAACCCCTAAACCCCTAAACCCTAAACCCTAAACCCTAAGCCCCAAACCCTAAACCCTAAACCCCTAAACCCTAGACCCTAAAACTCTCAAAGACCCCGGCGGCAGGCGTGGCGCCACAAAAATCCGGGGCGACCTCGGCCACAGCCTGCGACAGCATCCCTTAATTCTTGATTGAGGAGTAGGAAATGTCGTCTAAACACTATAGGGTCTAGAGTTTAGGGTTTAACGAATTAAGAGCACTTCTGGAAATTAATTTCACTTCGATAACTATGATATTCTGGACGGCTTTCGGAGTCTGGCAGAGAGAAAGAAGGCTCTTAGGGCGTTCCGGTCTCGGGATCAAGGCTTCAAGCTTTAGCGGCAGGGATCTTAAACGCGCGGGTTTAGGGTTGAAAGCCTTTCCGAGTTAGTGGTTTAGGGCTTTATGCCCTTCCGAGATAGTGGATTAAGGTTTTTGAAGCCCTTCCGGCATAGTGGAACAGGGTTTTAAGGCGCCTTCCAAGTTAGTGGATAAAGCCCTAGCTCCTTGGGTGCTTCCAGGGCTTTAGCGTTTCGAAACTTCTAGGTGCTCCTTCTCGGAAGCTGCTTTGACTCACCCATACTTGGAGGGTCGGGGGACTAAGTAACTGGTTATTCTAGGGACTTATAAGTACCATAACCCCTATTAGGGTCCCTTTTAGGGTACTTATAAGTCTACTTGCTAACTACTTACTAAGTCCCCCGACCCCCCAGGTAAGTAACCGTCCGAACACAGCCAGGAGAGCATTCTCGGATGGGAGTGGGGGAACATTCTAAGGCCTCGCCCTTGAACACTGCTGGGCCCAAAGACCATACAGTACAGTATAGCTACTCCTGCGACAGCATGTAGGAGAGTTTCAACACTGAGTTGATCTGCAACGGGATGCTGTGCAACGTCGTCTTGGAACAGCAACAATCCCTGAGAGTCCATGTACCCAAATAAATTCAAGCTTGGGCCCAATGTACCTATAGAGGGAATACTTCAAGGCCAGTATATACGCTATACGAGTACATGGACCACATAACATATGAGTACATGGACCCAGAGGGCATGACAGACACGAGAACAAACATCAGTCATTCCGATCACGACGTCCCTATCGCCGTTGCTTAACACTCTGGTGCTTGTTCCACATTTTCGGTGAAAAGCCTTAGGGTCCGCCGCTCACGGTTTAGGGTTTAGGGTCTGATAACCCACCCGCTGTCAGTGACAGGTAGCTCGTTCCATCATCGAGCTCACCGTGTCACGGCGGATTTCTGTCAGCTGCCTGGGCGAAGTTTACGCTATATGCTGGTCAGGGCTTATGCACTGCTGCTGATGTAAAATACTCCTACGCGTTACCTTCACTCAATCCCATAAACTCAGGGAACGATGGGGTACACGATGTCATGTCCGTCTGAACAATAATGAACGGACACAGGTCGGGCAAGACCACCAAAGGCATCTAAATACCGGAAGCAAACCTTAGTTGATGAGTTCATAAGCCCCCAAGAGTGCGCACTTTCAGTTTTATAGTGGATAATATTATGCCACAAAATGTAAAGTGTAATTATCCACTCAGCTACTAAGAAACAGAAACGAGCCAGTTAGGGACTAGGGCTTCGTGAAAACACAGTGTAAGTATAACCAAGAACCCTACTCAAGGAATAGTACTGCTTGGCACCACTGGGGTTACGGCTCCAAAGTCTATAACCTAAACATCACATGCTACAAGAGTTTCAGAGCAGAGGGTGAGATTTCAAGAAGGGCAGAACGCCTTGGGGATTCTTCAAAATTCTTCAGAATAAGGCTCAATAAAACCGGAAGGCGGATAACCCTAAGGCATACTACGGCCATGAAGTGGCCCTGTGATCCTGCTGCTGCTGCCGAAGCGCTGTGGCGACTCATCTGCAAGGAGCTGGGCATCAACGTGAGCCTAGCAGACCAAGATAGTTTTTACATTTTAAACTGCTACAGCCTAAACCCTGCACCCCCAGACCCAAAACCTGGACAACGGAATCTTGGGTGAAACCCACATGACGCTGGCGCTACTGAGATTGCACCTGCCCATTCTACATAATGACGCCCAGGAGTAACCTCTTCCTGAAGCCGAAAAGACCTACGTCTTCAAGGAACTGTACAAAGAAACCATTATAAGAAACCCTAAGAAGGTAGGTCTTTCCGGCTACAGGTTCTAGTTATCCCAGTGTGGGTTCCTGCCCATGTCACGAATTCCCACTACATTGTTTGGGGTTTCGTGTCTGTCAAACCTACATTTCGAAACTGCGGGGACAGGAACCGCTTGCGCCTAATAAGAGCCAACAAGTGAACCTCAAGCCGCAAGCTTTTAAATACGCATTCGATCAAAGACCCTGCAGTAGGATGTCCCTTGCAGTATGCGTTAAGGCAGGGCGGTTGACTTTCAGGTAAAGCTGCTTTAAAGAGGAGGACTACATATACCACAAAAAGTTGAAGGCTACTTACTGAGCTCTTCCGCTTGCCAGGAATGCGATCCCCGGGCACACTCCTCATGGTTCTGTCGTCTCTTTACCTGCAGCTTTTAAGTCGCCAGGAAGTTGCCTGCAGACCCCATAACCTACCTTTATAGGGCTCTTTGGCATTGCTTCCTTTTTGCATTCTCTCGACAAGGCGGGCTTTGGCTGTTGGAGTTCGTCTGGCGTCCTGGTGGGGTTTGGACAGGTTCAAGGTTCAGGGTTTGAGGGGGGACCATCAAAGCTTAAGGGTCCATGGGCCCAACTAGGTTCCTTGAATGGTTCCTTCAAGGGTACCATAAGGGTTCTATTTAGGATTTTGGGTTAAGGATCCATGTAATCATAAAGACTATAGGAATTGGCCTTTCAGTAGTCCCCATTTAGCTTGATGACTTGCGTACATGGACCCTTCGGGAAATCGACTGCTTACCAAAACACGGAACTACACTATACGTCTGGAAGAAGTCCAGCCAAAGCGGAAAACCACTCGAAGCGCAAACCCTTCAAAAACTCCATCCCTCAAAAGGGTTAGGGTCAGGGCCGCGCCCTAGGCTGTTCAGTAACCGTCAGTAACCCACCGGGAAAAGTATATGCTTGTTTAGGCTTCTTATTGTATAATTGGAACCCAGAAACCTGAAAATAAAAACGTGTACCACTGAACAGCCTGGGGCCCTTTTGCTTACTTTAGTCTGGGACTTTTGGAAACCCTCCGCCGAGGCACTTTCTGTTCCAGTCTGGCATCTGGTGTGGCCCTCCTTGGAGAGTTCTCAAGATTCGGGGGTCCGTTTGTGCTTAAGGGTCCAAGTACCTAACCCAAAGGCTCCATGTACCTTTATAGTAGATACTTAAGCCTTAAAGGGATCCCTATATGGGTACTTTAGTGCCTAAGTATATACTATATGGGTACATGGAGCCTTAGGGTAATATTCATATACTCTCCCAAATACTACCCTACATAACTACTCTCCTAGAACAGCGTACCTACTTATTGGGTCCTTTGGACCCTTAGGGTTTGTGCTTAAGGGCTCAGGGTTGAGGGTCCTTTTGTAAGGGTCGTGGGAAGAAGTGTTCTTGTTATTTGGGGCCTTCCGTTGTGGATGCCTGCAACTCCGCTGTTCCCCGACTCATACTGGGGATTGGCCGTGTAAAGCTGGCATATAAAGGGTCTAAAGTTTCAGGAATTGGCGAAGTTCTAAAAACTTTGAGCTCCTCCGTTTAGGGATGCGCATCATAACGATCCTACGAATTGTTAGGGAGTGTGTGCGCATTGTAAGGTCCCCCTTTTTCTCTAAACTCCCACGTGTCGTCAAAACTACGGCACATCTTACCATGGTGTAAGAACTTTCGAAAAAGATGGGGTACTGGGCTGTCTGGCTACCATACACGTGTGTAGGGCCTAAGGGGCTACCTGTAGCAAGCTAGCACATATTAAGGACATGATAAGGAGGAGCCCTGAACAGGTAGGGGTGTTTCAGGCTACTTCAGAGGCTGAGGAGCACAGACGTGGAAGATCCTGAGGTGGTGCGCGAAGCACAACTCATATCCACCCTACAACCAAACCGTAAATCCTGAAACCTTTAACCCGAAATCCATAAGCAATTTCTCGGCTGACTTCTGAACCACTCCAAAAAGTTAAACTGTTAGCCTCCTTATTATAGTTCACATAGAAACCCAAAAAGTTAAAGTCCTAAGAGCCAACCGGAAGAACGCCAAGATTTATAAGCCCAAAGCCCTCGAACAAAAACTCTATCAGATCCTAGTTACACCCTAACCCTATTTGGACGTTCATGGGACTTAATAAGTACAGTTATAAGTACCTTAACTGCGGATATAACCAACTATAAGTATAGTTATCGTATTTTTAACCCTAGCTACAAGTACCATGAACCTCTAAGTAAGGCTCAAAATAGCCCAAAAGCCTTACATAGTATTGTCTTTGGGCCCGAAAGCCCTAGGATATGAGTCCTTAGAGACTAAGGGTAAGGGCCTGAGCCTTCAGAACTCGAAAACCGGAGCCGTAGGCCCTATAAACCAAAGAAAACTCTTTGGCCGCCTTAGATGCGCAACCTCAGGCAAAAGACTACTTAAAGGCTCATGGGACTTAGTAAGTAAGGTTATAAGCAGGTTATAATTAGGAGAACCCCACTTAGGGGACTTATAACCCCAATTATAACCTACTTACTAAGTCCCATGATCCTTCAAGTACCCCTAGTGCTCCACGGACTCACGTATTAAGGCTTTTGGGCCCAAAGGGCTATGTAGATCCCCAGGGTACGACATCTAAACCCGCAAGTATGAGCTATAGGATCTGGATTTTTAACTAACTACTGACTGACCAGCAAAGTAGATCTGGGTCTGAACACTGAGTCATAACACTCCCTCAGAATCCTTATCTTGTTGCGTATACTCAATGCAGCTTGAATCCCTAAACTGAAACCTGACACTCTTCGTCCCGAACCATAAACCCTAAACCCATTCGGGGTCGATCTTGGCCAGGCGACCGGCACACGCTTTCCACCAAGCGCAAGACCTGCTGATCATTGGCCGAGGAGTATGTTATAGTCTCGGTTTAGGGTTTGGGGTGTTATAGTATCCTTGTAAACCCAAATCCCCATACCATAAGACGCTCAATCTTTACCCCTTAGTATCAGGAAGCCTACTGCGAGGATACCTAAAGGGGGCGATTTGGCCCTTGTGGTTCAGAGGCTATGATGATGGGCTCCTGATCTATCATCCTGGGCTCCTGGCGCTGGCATTAGGAATCAAACAAAAGGCTACAGGGTTCCGGGTTTCCCCTAAACCCTGAACCCTAAACCGCCAGGCTACAGGGTTTAGGGTTTCGAGCTTTTTGACAGCTTTGGGATTTAGGATTTAGGGCATAGGTTTTCTCTGGCGGAGCTTTCAGGACTAGGAGTTTAGGGCTCATAGTCCCATCACTCTTAAACCCTAAACCCTGAAACCCCCAAACCTTAAACCCTTGGCCCTAGCCCTAGAAACCAAATAATGGTTGACTGTTTCAAACAGTCTGACACCCTTTCTGAGCAAGGCCGGCACATCATATACAAGTACAGCGTCTCGTCCTGGTCTTGCCTGTTGTGCCGCCTCCGAGGAGAGGCACAGATGGAGGTGACTTCGGCTCCCTGTGGGGCCGCCCGGCTAGAGCCCCTGTGTCTCTATAGCGTCGATCAAATGCCAGAGCAGTCCGCACACTGAGCAGACGTACTCGCTGCTGGGGTCCTCCCAGATATTCATCTGGGTGTCGCAGGCCGAGCAAGAGAAAACTTGCTGCAACACAGGAACTTCCTGGGGGAGATTGGCTGGGGCAGCAGGTGCGGGCGCTAAACTCTAAACCCTAAACCCTGAGGACCCTCTTCGCCATCGCGGAAATAACCGGGTACTATAGGGGCCTTCATGAATAGAATAGGATTTTTCGGGTACACTATACCAAGAAATTCTGATAAGGAATCTCAGCATAGCATCGGTAAGTACTTAGGCCCCTGGCCCTGTAATAACCAAAGAACTAAACTACGGTGCAGACTGCCACAACACACGTAAGCCCGAAACCGCAAACACGACAAACCAAAACCCTAAGCCCTAAACAATCCAAACCCCAATTAATGTGACCCGAAGCCCTATAAGCCCTAAGCCCTAAACCCCAAGCCCTACAAACCCTAAACACGACCAGCCCTGGCCCCATAAACCCTGAACAGGCCATCTTTGGGGGCAAGATGCATAGAGTCGCGAGCCCATAGACTGTGCCTCGACGTTGCTCGGATATCTTACGTTTTTAAGGCTTAGGTGACAGGCTTGGGGCTTGGGGTGTAGGGTTCCTAAAATCGCCGCGGGGCCTGGCTTCTGGCTTCGATCATTGGTTGGAGCATTCAGGATGGGTAGATGGGGGGTCCGGGGACTTAGTAAGTAGTTAGTAAGTAGACTTATAAGTACCCTAAAAGGGACCCTAATTGGGGTTATGGTACTCATAAGTCCCTAAAATAACCAGTTACTAAGTCCCCCGACCCTCCAAGCAAGGGTCCATGTACTCATATAGAAACATTGGCCTCCACGTGCTAGCCCCGTATATAGGTACATTGGGCAAAGTGTATCGCTACATGGACCCTTACCTGCTTGTCGGGTATCATGGGTTACTAAAGGTTAACCTTTTTGGTCATATAGGGATTATATAGGGACTATACTACCCAAAAAAGGTTATAGGTTCCCTACTCTACTACTAGGCTTAGGGCTGCACTTGTTATGGCTAAGGTCTCCCCAAGCTCTGAAACCTAAACCCTTAAAGAGACAGAAGTAGGGTTGAGACAGGGTTCCCTAGAAGGGGACTCCCTGGTTCTACCTAGGAGCCTCTTCCAGCTCACCAGTCGGTGGGTTGTGGGTCATGGAGAAAGGGTTTATAGGGGGTTTAGGGTTTAGGGTTAAGGGTTTAGGGGTTTAGGGTTTAGGGGTTAAGGGTTTAGGGGTTTAGGTTTAGGGGTTTAGGGTTTAGGACGCTTGTCGAAAAGAATTGTGGCTCCGGAGCTGGGGTTCTTCGGTTTTGGGGAGTTGAAGGGGTGCTGTAGGGTGTAGAGGCATATGGCTTTTGTTTGAACGCCTTTTCCCGCCTGCAGTCTAGATACATCCTCACGGTTACCCCTTTTCCCCAGGCAAAGTGTCAGTAAGATGAGGAGGCGTAGAAGGGGCTCAACTTTGGAGAAGCTCTCCCCCTCCGCTTTCGCCCCCATATGGAGGGGGGATCTAGATCATGCGAGTGGTTGTCAAAATTAGGGTCCCTTTAGGGTACCCCAAATATTAGGTGCCGTACTATAATAGGGACCCCAAAAGGGACCATAATTTTGACAACCACCCATGCGGATCATGCTTCATACTGCTAAACAACTGCGTTGGAGTGAGCGGCCGCGACCCTGGAAACTACTTACCCATAGGTCCCATAGTAGTTCCTTTTGGGGGTTCATAATTTAGAACCCAATAAAGTTACCCCCAACAGGAGCTACTATGGGGCCTATGAATATGGTGTACATGTTTAACCCTTGTGATGGGTGATGCAGGATGCTGTTCATCAGCAGTATAGGGTGTCTTGATCGATCCAGGAGTCCTGATTCACTGATTATGCAGATCCTACGGTATAGTATTTCGTGTCTACCAAGTCTTCATTCTGATTCGGCTAGAACCCTATAGTAACAACCGACTAAACCAAACATGGCGACACTGGGGGAAACTAATTCTAGAATCTAGGAGCCTGGGCCATTCGAGCAGGTTCTCTGAAATCTGGGCATCTTGCAGTGTGATAATAACAATCTGGAGCCCGAGAGAATAGCATAACCAACAGTTCAAGCTTCCCCTAAAGGCTTATGACAACGTGCCCGAATAGTGTGTATATATATATGTATATGTATATGTATATATATATATATACATATATATATATATATATACACACACTTTTTTTGGCCCCCAAGTACCGATATGGAGACTACTTGAAGGCCAGCCTCTATATTCTATGACGACCCTGAGGCTTCATATTCGGGTCGGCTCCATACTTGGACTTTCGCGGAAGGTGTTATCTTCGGGGCGAAGTTGGGTAGTTTAGAGTTGATTAGGGCTTAGCCCTATGCCTCCAGGGACCTTATTATGGGGGTCCTTAAGGGGTCTAGGGCCCTAACTATGAGGTCCTTGGAGGGATAGGGTTAGGGCCCTAAACCCTAAACCCTAAACCCAGCATTAGGGTTCTTCCGGATTGAAGTTTAGGGCTGGCATTTCAGGGCTAATTAGGGCTTGGGGCTTCCGGCATGCATGGCCCTTAATCGCTTCCCCCTCATATTAAAGGCCCCGGCTCGCTCCCCCTAATATCAAAACCGGAGGGTCAGTTTTTATGTTAGAGGTGTTTCGGGGCATCTGGGTGTGAGTGGGACTGGCAGTGCTTCAATAGTACTTGACTGATTATGGACCCAGATAGTCAGCAACAACGACCGCTTCTTGCGCTGCCTAAAGCCCTAAGCACTAAACCTTGAGCCATAAAGCCCTAAGCCCTAAAGCTTTAGCCCTGAGCCCTAAACACTAAAGCTCTGGTCTCTTCGGTCTGATTAGTACTGCTGTAGTCTTTGGCTCTATTTGACTAATACAATCCTAGGCCCACCCTAATGGTTTTTAAATTAACTTTCAATTGTGAGCCCGAACCGTGAAACTCCGTGGCCGGGCGTTTTTGTATGAGGGTGGTTTAATGTTAGGGGGAAGCGATTATTCATACACCCGTGCAGAACGAAGCACCGGCAGAATCTGATGAAATCCTTCCTTCTGTCTGAAAACCCTATAACCCCGTCACACAAACCTTCACCCAAGTCCCTACACCCTAAACTCCTAAACCCTAAACTCCCAAACCCCCAAAGCCTCTGAAACCCGGAAGCCCTAAACCCAAATCCCAAATCCCAAAACCCTAAATCCCTAAGACCCTTACCATTAGGCTCCATCGTAGTTCCTTTTGGGGATTACCTTACACTATTCGAAACATGAACCCCAAAACGGAACTACTATGGGGCCTGCGGGTAGCCCCCTAGCAGCCTCCCCAGAGATCCCAATACCCCTTAATTAAGGAATGAAGGCCTCCGTACTTGAAGGTCTATTCCTGAAGTAAGGGATATTGGAGTCTCTGGGTAGGGGCATTGAAGAGTATATGGGTAGTTGTAAAAATTAGGGTCCCTTTTTGGGCACCCGAAAAAATAGGAGCCGTATTTTATCAGGGAGACCAAAACGGACCATAGTTTTGACAACCACCCATATGATTGTTAGGTACTTGGACCCTTTGGAGACCCCTTGCAGCCTCCTCGGATTTCTTGGAGACGCGCGCGTAGACTTGGCCCAGGAGGCAGCCTCGGCTCCAAGCCGATACGCCCCTTTGTTTGCTGTTTAGGGTTTAGGGGTTTAGGGTTGATTGTTTCTAAATTTGCTGCCGCCTCTTTCAGGAAGAAAGGGATGATACGTGTTCTGTAGGGTGTCTACAGGGTTTACGGGGCGTTCGCGTGCATGACAGTCAACTCATGCGTGTTTCGAAGGTCTTTTAAAGCCTTGATCCAACTACCAACCCACTTACCTTTGGTTAGTAGAGAATGGACGAATAGTAGTAATAATAGCAGTTATAATTGTACCCCATTCCTCCATTCCCTACTAACCAAAGGTAAGCCCAATGGCGAGACCTCGATTGTCAGTCCCACTAATATAGGGGCCTTAATAGGGCTCTTGGGGTCCATTGTACTATAGTTATAATAAGGAACCCCCAAAATGGTATAGGTAGTTATTAAGGCCCCTACATCATGGCAATTGTTGCCACGATGACTAGCATCACTACCGCTGGGTGTGGGCGTACTTCTCCCCTCTTTATACGACAACAGTTGCGGTGATTGGCAGTATGCCTAACTTGCTGTTTAACGAGTACAACGTGCCGCCCAATCTGCGAGATTTATTTATACCTATAGCCCGGCAAAGGCAGCTCTGCATGGTGACCCTGAAGCCGTGGCTCAAAGCACAGCTAGGAAAGCTCGGTTCAGCTCTTTACATAAATGGGAAAGCCTCCGGAAAGCCCATTTCCCTTCTACGCCCTTCTCCTGCTGCACAACCAACCGAGAGGCCGAAGAACAGAGTCATGATATTTATGTGTATATATATGTATAAATGAATATATATATATATATATATATATATATATATACATACATATATATATATATATATATTCATGTACACACCTATTTAAATTTACGTGCTGCTGCTACGATATGTTCAACCCAGCCTTGGACCCGGGTCGAAACTCTAACCGCTACGAAGCTGCGGGCTGAACTGCGCCGGTCGTCGGCGGCTACTGGCGCTACCTGCAGGGCCCGAAGTTTAGGGCTTCAGGGTTTAGGGTACCTCTGCTACCACTCGAAGGTCTGTTTATCCCTAAACCCTAAAACCCGAAGGGATAGAAAGTGATGCTCGCAGCAGCCGTACCGAAGCGGTGCTGTCCACGACTGCATTTTCCACTTGTCGCCCAAGTAATGGACATAGTGGCCGGCTTCGTCGCCGTCACAGCAGTCGTGATGGAAATAGAAGGAGTAAGAGGAGCGGTAGTGGTATCAGTGGTAGTGGTAGTAGTAGTAGTAGTAGTAGTAGTAATAATAGTCGTAGCAGGAGTAGTAGTAGTCGTCATCGCACGTGGGTGTTTGCTTCTTTACATATACACATAGACTACACACATAAACACATGACGTACATACAGACAAAAAGAACTACATATCGACAGCTGACAACACACATGCGTGCTAACATAACATGAAAGAACAGAACCAAACATATCATAGCATAAAGTAGCCGTAGCATGCTTCATTACATAGATGCGTACGTACATACACACAAAGACCTACACAAAGCTACGCACCCCGACATACAACTACATGTGTGCATTTATACATTCTTGCGTACGTAGACATGTACGTATGTACGCGTGTATGCATGCATGCATGGATGGACGTATGTATGTGTGTGTGTGTGTGCATGTATGTATTCATGTTCATAAATATGTAGATACGTATATGTATGTGTTATACGTAAAGATACATGCATGCATACAAAAAACGTTCAGGGAAAGGGAACAGAGAAATAGAGAGAGAGAGAGAGAGAGAGAGAGAGAGAGAGAGAGAGAGAGAGAGAGAGAGAGAGAGAGAGAGAGAGAGAGAATTTGGTTTGACCAGATCGAGACCGAGCATAGTGCGCTCATCCTGTTTGAGGCCTAGGAACCCAAGTTCAAAGTCTTGGGGCTTAGGGTGAGGAGGCTCAGGGTACAACATACAAAGCACGACGTGTGGGAGCAGCTGCCGTCTTGGCTCAAGCAACCCGCAAGAAAGCGAATTTGTGTTCGTTTGAAGATGGCGGTACCAAAATCCTGAATGCCCGAAACTCCCTAAACTCCAATCCCTGAAACCCTAAAGGGCGAGTCCTATATACGACAGCATTGCCTGCGAATCAACTGCTGGAGTTTCAAGTGTGAACTCTGCAAGCCCCACACCCTCAAATGTAAATCTGAAAGCTCCGAACATGCGAACTGTAAACTATAAAATTATACGGGAGTTTCCGCAAATTAGGGGTACCTTATTTTGGGCCATTATAATAAGGATCCTACTATTTAGGGTACTAGATTTTGGTCCCGTATTTTCGGAAACCCCCATACACTTCCAGCCCTTGTTAAGTTGAGAACTGAAACTCAAAGCATTGCTGCAAATGCACCTCGCTGCCACCCTGCCGCAAACCTGGTTGTTCAGCGTTTAGGGCTTAGGGTTTAGGGGTTTAGGGTTTAGGGGTTTAGGGGTTTAGGGTTGAGGGTTTAGTTCGCATGCCAAGCATTGGATTCTGTCTGTGTTGATGGTCCTGTCTTCCCCAGAGATCCCAATACCCCTTAGTGAGGAATATACCTGAATTTGAAACACAATATTAAGCCCCCTATAGATCTCTTTAAAGGAACCCTAGGCGTTCCTTAATCAGCGGTCTTGGGTCCTCTGGGAGAAGGTGACCAGAGTGATGACGATGGACAGGACGGTGACGCCGATTATGATGGTCGTCCCTAAGGCACCCAACTTAGGGTTCCTTTTAAGGACTCCTTTAAAGGTTCCCTTAAGGGTTCTATAGGGTTTATGGGTTAAAGGGTCCATGTACCCAAATAGTAGACACTTTGGCCCCAATGTACTTGACTTATACAGGGGTGCTTTAAGGCCAACGTATACACTACACTATATGAGTACATGGACCCTTTAGGGTGTGATGACGACGATAATGGCGCTGTTAATGCCGCTCATGTTGGTGACAGTGGTGATGCCAACGACGACGAGGGCAATGATCATGGTGAGGGTGGTGCCGGTAACGGAGGTGGCACGAATGGTGGTGCTGCTTCGGGTGGTAATGCTGGACCTTGTGGGTTGTTCGTACGGCGCTTGAAGGCTTTACGGCTTATGCGTTCGAGGTTTATGGCTCGGATTGTGGGGTGCAGGCTTTGGGGTTTCCGGTTAAAAGGCTCTGGGCTTCATCTCTTGGTATTTAGGGATCAAGTTACGCATCCAGAGAGCCTTCGCATGTTGCCCCGTCACTGAATCTTCCCTACACGTTGCAGACATGCGAGGAGAAGCAGACATGGGGTCTGTTTAGCTTAACGAACCATAACTGAACTACTCGAGGTAGAGCCTCGAACGTTCCAGAAAAGATGTTGAGCATTCTGTGAATATGTTGGAGTTTCCGACATTAGTGGTACCTTAGTGTGGGTTCCTTACAAGGATCCTACTATTTCGGGTCCTATATTAGGATCCCCATTTTTGGAAACCCCCATATAGGGCTTGCAGCATCAGAAACATTGCCAAAGTTGGCTTTGTTGGTAGACCCTGCGCGCTGAACTTTGATCCCTAAACCGTTAGCGTCGTCAACAACACCTCAGCCTGTCTTGCTCACCGCATAACCCTTAATATTCCAAGCCTTTCCTGTTGCTAATATATAATACCCTCAGGGTGCATGTACCCAAACAGCCTTTTCTTCGGCTCTACTTTAAGGCCTTTGGCACATGGACCTTGAACCCTAAACCCCGCAGCACCCTTACAGAACCCTGACGGTACCCTTACAGGGCCCCACTAAATGATCAAAACAAGGAAGCGCAGTACGACAGTCCTGGGGGACCTAGCCAAAGGGTTCCCTACAACGGGAAATGCGGAAATACGAACTTTTCAGAATGCTATACTATACTACACTAGATGCCCCCTACACATCCCCTAAAGCTCCACTTGCCGAACGAGTGGGCTACTAATCACCTAAACCCTGCAGCCTCTAAGGTACTTCATCATGCATAGCCATCATATGCAACCCCGTGGCACTTTATTCAAACAAATGGCGACTCGTAGAGTGTGCTAGTGACAGGCCTTAGACGAGATCCAGCGACCCTTGTGAAACATGCGCTACACAATTGGGAGGAGGCAGGGCTGAATTTCGCAATGGCAAGACAACGGTTGAAGTGCTGTCAATTTTGCTGGCCCAAAACCCAAGGAAATAAAGGTTGAAACATTCAGAATCGACTGCCTTATACGAACCCCAAAAGTTGAAAAGTTGAGCTTACAGCCAATCAATTTTCCTGGGCACATCGCAGACTTCATAACTCTGGGGAGTTGCTGTCGCGCTGACACACCCGGCCGGCGCACTTCGCGGGTTTGAACTTGGGGTGTATCATAAGGACCCTTCGGGTTTAGGTGGGTAGGGGGTCTGAATACCTCTAATAAGGACTTAATTTCAGATTATTTATGGTCCCCTACCCCCCCTACCCGCCTAGGGGTCCCTTTGAGTGTATGGGTGCTTGATGTTGCCTATCCATCTCAGGCTTTCGGGGCTGACTGTTTTGGATCCCGGCTTGGGCTGGAGGACTGCTGATGCACCCGACCGATCCGGGCCATACATGTCACTGACACGGAAGTTTCAGAAAATGAGGGGTTACCGTATTTTGGGTCCTTACTGTGAAACTCACAAACCTGGGCTTTGAAGTGACCAGACAGAAAACAGTATAGGTTTTTATTTCATAATGGTTCCCTTTGAGTAACAGGTCCCCTTAAAAAGTATTAGAGTATGGTACTCCAAAGCCCAGAAATCTGCTAGTCGATTCGACTGCTGAGCAGATCGGACAACAGACAGTAATCGTCCTGCCAGAACATCGTGTAGTCCAGCAGGAGGTGGCAAGTCAACATGAGGATGAAGACAAAGAGGAAAACTGGATGACTTGTAAGCACGTAGCTCTCGAGCGCTGCAATCGTGATCGAGGAAGTCATGAATATCAAGCTGAGCGTGAGGATTCCACATCCGAACATCACGGCATTCAGCAAGCACTTATTCGTTATTCTTTCGGAAAGCTGCTTTAAGAGTCCCAAAATGCAGGGGTGGATCGCAGGGTACAGCACCGTGAGCAGGAGAACGAACTGGATGTAGTTCAGCAGGAAATACCTGAACCCCAAGAACCGAAATACCTGAAGGAACTATACTTGCTGCACAAGTCAAAAAGAAACAAGCCCCCAAACCTATATTTGCTACGCTTCAGGTACTGCTCAACAGAGGCATAGCCCAGTTCTTCCCAGACCGGACGCCCCGTCCACGTAATTGCAGTCAGACCTGACTTGTTTGCGTCTTAACTTTTAGATTTCAGGTTTGGTGTGTTCCAGGGTCTAGGGCTTAAGGTTTCGGGTTTGGTGTGTTTAAGGGTACACCCAAAGGCCCCAAGTAGTTCCTTTTTGGGGTTTATTTTAGGTAATCCCAAAAAGGAACTACTATGGGGCCTATGGGTAGGGCTTAGGGTTTCGGGGTTGCGGCTTAGGGTTTGGGGATATCATCTAAGCTGCAAGCTCACTCGTCCAAGCGGCAAAGAATTGTCGGCACCCAGGTTAGGACACAAATACCCCATGGCAGGTGGGTCTCAGTACCCAGATCTTCGATGACGCCGTCACGAGCAGGATTGCGAACGTAGTCCTGGCTAGAGTCATGTTCCAAGCGGCTTCACGTGAGAATCTATAGGGCGCAGAATCAGCACCAGAACAGGGCTGAGGGTTTAGGGGTTAAGGGTTTAGAGTTTAGGGCTCATGCGCTGACCCAGCAAGCGACCCTACGATCTCTGAATAGGCTCTGTGCCCTGAAGCCAAAGGTCTAGAAACGCTGTAAGGTTTAAGGTTTAGGGCTTAGGGTTCAGAGCCCTCATAGATCTTCAAAGTACCCTGTCAACCCTGCCTTCCGTATCGAACCCATGTAAGCCCAGATAGTAACCTTTGCGCAACCTTGTCTGCGGGACCCTAAATCCTAAACCCTATACTTAACGCGTACCCAGTCTACATTCAAGTTCGGTTTTGGGGTTTACCCAAAGGCTCCCAAAGGGGTCATGGGCCTTCTGGGGGAGGGTTTGGGCTGGGGGGGGGCTGAGGTTCGGGATCTCACTTCGAGGGTCCAGGAGCCTCAGGGTAGGGTATGACTAACTGTATATGCTGGTCGGATTTCAACGTCCTAGACAAGAACAGCGAAGCGGAAAGAACAAAGCATAGTCGAGACCACAGGTAGCGCGGTGGTTTTAGGCGGTGAGGTTTGGGGATTGTAGGAGTTAGCATGGTAGCAGCGTCAACACCCTGTTAAACACCTTTCTAAGGCCCAAACCCTGCTTCGCTCTCCTCACACATGAGCTAGAGACAAGCACCAAACCGTAATCACTACAAAAACGAACCGTACATCCGACGCACCGAAGCCTCCGACTTGTAGATTAGGATGTTGAAGAGTACATGATTATTAGGTACTTGGACCCTTGGGGTCACTGCATCCAGAATCTCGCCAAGAGGCGTTAAAGGCGTCCAAGCTTGCCCCAACTTCGGGAAATCCCGTAGCTGTGCGAATGGCCAGTCCTTGGTTTCATGGGGCGGTCCATGCTATGAACCCAAAGGCTCCATGTGCCCATATAGTAGGTACTTAGGCCTTAGAATACCTATATAGGGACCCTTTTAAGGCCTAAGTACCTACTATATGGTACATGGAGCCTTTGGGGAATGCTAGACCCAAGAGTAACCTAGCAACAAGAAAGGGTGCCCTTTTTGGCTTACAGGCGGTTATGAGGTCACCTAAAATCTAAAAAGGAATAAGGGCCTACTCTGCGTCCTAGATGTGATAAGGAACTCAAAGACTAGGTTTAGCGACATTCTCGGGGCGTAAGTTTTAGGGTTCTGTGTGGCTCAAGACTTCTATCTAGGATTTGGACCTGTAGGGTCTAAGGGCAAGTCGTGTTCATTCATACAGCCATGCTAGATTTGGCCTTGAAAAGCTTTACCTTGTCGTGTTTCACTAGAGCCAGTACTGTCGCCAGATGTAGCAAGCTTTCCGGGAATATCAGGCATTCTAGCATAGGCCCTGAATACCACACATATGAAGATGTCTTAAGAACTGCCCAGCATCGCGAAGTCAAGGACAGCCGCCTCTGCTCCTAGTAGCATCGATGTGTGCGTGGGGTTTAGATCTTGAGGGTTGTAGGGTTCTCGGTTTCGTTGGGGTTGGCCAACCTCAACCGAGAAACCAAACCAAAGAGCCCTGAAACCTTAAAGCCACGAAGCCCGAACGAAACGAACCCCAAGTACTTACCGTTTTATGGGCTTCTGAGAACAAGGGGTCTGTGTTTTTGTCTTTGATAACAAGGACACCCAGGGCACACTATGGCTTTGGAGGCCCCCACATAACTTGGAGCCCCCCTAAACCCTGAGCCCCAAAA